TTTGTGTTCCATACTGGTCAAGACACTTAGATTTTTTTGAGCCCTAACTGCTTCAACTATTAAAAGGGAATCTCTTATTCCATTTTCTGCAAAAGTGTCTTCCCCAGTGACCTGTATAATCAGCTACTTCCTGTTTCTAGGTCATGAGGTCTCACACTTCCAAAGAACTATAGCTCTAAAGAGGGCAATCTAATAGCAATATGTTGTCTCACTGAATATAGCAGGAATGTGTGTGTATGCGGGGTGGGGGCTTACTTAACTAGACACATGCCCCCTCAACCCCTTTCTTCCTTCATATTCTAGGTAAGTCAGCAGCCTCATAAAACCAGACTGAAGATGACTTTAATTAAATAAAGAGAAAATTCTTTGGCTAGGTGCAGTGGCTCATCCCTATAATCCTAGCAGTCTCGGAAACCAAGGAGGGAGGCCTGCTTGAGCTCAGGAGATTGACACCATACTGAGCAAGAGTGACACCCCATCTCTACTAAAAATAAAAAAACTAGCCAGGTGTTGTGGCAGGTCCTAGCATCCTAGCTACTCAAGAGGCTGAAGCAAGAGGATCTCTTAAACCCAAGAGTTTGGGGTTGCTGTGAGCTATGATAGCATACCACTCTACCCAGGCGACAGAATGAGACTCTGTCTCAAGAGAAAAAAAAAAGAGAAAATTCTTCAGCTCTCTGTACTACTTTTTGGCTAGACATACTAAATGAAAATTAGGGGAGAAAGGCGAATTTTCACAAAGGTAATCTTTGTCATTCCACACTATTTTAATATTTTGCCAAAAATGTCTCCATATCCCCATGGCAGGTATCGTTAAAGTTGTCTCTCATACAGATCTTTACAGTAGTTGGATATCGCTGTATGTAGACAAATGAAAATATAAAAATAATGAATATTTTCAAAAGTCATTAGCTTATCTTACCTTTGATGAGGTACAAGAATATTATTGATCCCTCCGAGTTTAACATTTATCTTTAGGCACAAGTTTGAGAGAGTTTGAGGAGATGTTTTTATTACATTCTTGACTTGAACACATTGTGTAGCCATTCCCAAAAGTGTATCTCCTACACGCTTCACCTCCGCTATGGAACAAATGCAAATACCTCTAGTGAAAAAAAAAGATCTGAAAATAAGTTTATTTACTGAAAATACATCTACTATGCTTCTCTCTTGAACTATATCATTGTATATACAAGATGCCAAAAATTATACCAATATAGTACTAAAACAACACTGTTAAAATTTAAAGTATACTACCTTGTAGCTTAAGTACTTATGTAGAGATAATTTTTCCAGTTGTTTTCTTCTTTGTGTCAAAAAGTTTATTTTTATCATCATAAAAACAGTATAACCAAAATAAATGAAAACGCCTCAGAGAAAAATACAATCCCTTGTTATTTTAGTATATTATTTTCCAGTAATTTTCTCATTTATATTATTTTAATACACTTATAATCACAGGATAGTATAGAGCTTTCAATCCTATTTGCCAACTTTAATTTAAAAATGCAGAAATTGGCTCAGTGCCCATAGGTCAGTGGTGAGGGCTCCAGTCACATACACTGTGGCTGGCGGGTTCAGGGGCAGGCCTGCTAAATAATGACAACTATAACAATAGTAACATCAAAAATAGCTGAGCATCGTGGCAGGGGCCAGTAGTCCCCGCAGGCTACTCAGCTACTTGGGAAGTAGAGGCAAGAGAATCTCTTAAGCCAAGAGTTTGAGGTTGCTGTGAGCTGTGACACCAGAGCACTCTACCATGGGTGACATAGTGAGACTCTGTCTAAAAACAAACAAACAAAAACGCAGAAGTACTATAATAATAAAAGCCTCCAGTGAACATGGGTAGTACATATTTATGTAACCCATGTGCATACAACTCCTTCATGAATATTCACAGATCCTCCCTAATCTGTTGAAATGTATATAGGTGGTCAACCTTTTCAGGATAAATTCCGTCTCTTACTGCTCCTTACAAGTGCCTGCCTCTGGTTTTGGCTAGAGGTCTGTTCACAGCCTACAAGTTGTAATCCTTTATAAGAAATAAAAGTCTCCTCTCCAAATTTATGAAGACCTCAGGGTTTTTTTGTTGTTGTTGACACAGGGAAGGGACTAAAATCAAATCTGATTTTTTAAAAGATCACACTTGACTTTTGTTATACCTCTCAGATATAAAGTATTTGTAAGTCACGGCTACCATCCTCGTAAGAAGGAAAAAAACTGAAAAAACTTAAAAATCAATGACTTTTTTTAGGTCCTCAGGGAACTGAGGTTCTCTCCCAAACCAGGTGAATACAGAGATTAACAGGTGAAGCTGTTACTAAAAGCTGAACCCAAAGAAACCAGTAACTGGTAAAAACAATTAAACATGGGCTGGGGACAGTGGCTCAAGCCTGTAATTGTAGCACTCTTGGGAGGCTGAGGTGGGTGGTTTGCCTGAGCTCAAGGAGTTCAAGACCATGCTTGAGCAAGAGAGAGACCCTGTCTCCACTAAAAATAGAAAAAAAATAGCCAGGCAGGGTGGTGCAAACCTGTAGTCCTAGATACTAGGGAGGCTGAGACAAAAGGATTACTCAAGCCCAAGAGTTTGAGGTTGCTGTGAGTTACCATGCTATGGCACTCTACCCAGGGCAACAGAGAAAGACTGTCTCTTAAAGAACCCCCCTACCCCAAACCAAAACAAAAATTGAACATGCTAATTGACTTAACTGCTAGAGGCTGAGTGTGGAGCAGTTTGAGAACCAAAAATTTCTACAGGCCTACCCAGTCTTAGGTATCCACACTTTCACAGGTTTTATCAAGAGCCCCACCAGGTTTTAAACTTGAAGATCAAGAGAAAAATCCCCTCAAGCATGGACAGGAAAAGTAAGCACTTTGAAATTTGCCCAGGAAGTTTCCTTAATAAAGACCTGTGTTCAAGGGAAATTACCTATGCCTTATCATCTGGGGAAGAGCAGTTAAATAATTCCAGCCTCATCTAGCCTTCCTGTGTCATCTACAAGGAGATTAAGAAAAAAAGGTTAAGAAGCACTTCTAAAGGTCATAAGCAGGAATTCAAAGAAAAAGCTCCCTCACATTTAATAGTAAGATATAAAGCACTTCCTCTGTCCAAAAACTACCTACCACATTAACAGGATTCCAGTATAGTAACAGTAGGTTACAAATGAGAGAGCTACAAGGACTTCTTATGGAAACCCCAAGACAATAAGAGAGAAGAAAAGGAAACTAGGGGAACTCAAGTTTCTGGAACCTACAACTATAGCAAACATTAAATACAGCCTGGCTCCTGGTCAGAGTAAATAAAACTCCAAGCCAGGTGCTGTAATTCCAGTATTTTGGAAGGCTGAGGCAAGAGCATTGCGTGAGGTCAGGAGTTCAAGACCAGTCTGGGTAACACAGCAAGACACTATCTCCACCAAAAAAAAAAGTGGCATGAACTAAAAGCACTTGGGTGGCTAAGGCACAGGACTGCTTGAGCCCAGGAGTTGGAGGTTGCATTAGCTACACTACTACACTCCAGCCCCGGTAGGTAACAGAGTGAGACTCTATCTCATAAAACAATGGAACTACACAATAGAAGCCTGATTATTTCAGTTTCTACTACTAGATACATTGTGTCAAGCCGTAATAAAAAAAATCATGGAGCATGCTACAAGACAAGAACAAAATACAGCCTGAAGCCACTAAACAAGCATCAGAACCAGACTCAGAGATGAGACAGATTTTAGAATTATCATAACTAAAATGAATCTGTTAAAAAATCTAATGGAAAAAGTAGACAACATGCAAGAACAGATAGATAATGAAACCAGAGGGATGGAAACTCAAAGAAAAAATCAAAAGGAAATGTTAGAAATAAAAAACATTGGGTTGGCACCTATACCGGGTTCAAACCCAGCCTGGGCCAGCTAAACAACAAGGACAACTGCAATAAAAAATAACCAGGCATTGTGGCGGGCACCTGTAGTCCCAACTACTTCGGAGGCTGAGGCAAGAGAATTGCTTAAGCCCAAGAGTTTGAGGTTGCTGTGAGCTGTGACACCACAACACTCTACTGAGGACAACATAGTGAGACTCTGTCTAAAAAAAAAAAAAAAAATTGCAACATTTATGAAAACTGCCTTTCACTAGACTGGACACTGCTCAGGAAATAATCGGTGAACTGGAAGATATGTCAACATAAGCTTTTCAAATTGAAATGCAAAGTAAATAAAAAGAATGAAAAAACCTCTAAACATAGAACAGAATATCTAAGAAATATGGGATACTGACAAAAGGTGTTAATATATGTATAATGAGAATATCAGGAGAAGAAAAAGAAAGGGACAGAAAAAATATTTCAAGTAAAATGGAGGGTTGGGCTGGGAGTAGCAGTTCATGCCTATACTCCTACCACTCTGGTAAGCCAAGGAAGGAGGATGGTGTGAGCTCATGGGTTCGAGACCAGTCTGAACAACAGCAATACCCAATCTCTACTAAAAATAGAAAAATTAGCCAGGTGAGGTAGTGCACATCTATAGTCCCAGCTACTTAGGAGGCTAAGGTAGGGGGATCACTTGAGCCCAGTAGTCTGAGGTTGCTGTAAGCTATGACACCACTGCACTCTAGCCTGGCTGACGAGAGAGAGACTCTGTCTCAAAAACAAAGAAAGAAAGAAAAATAAAGATAGCTGGGAGGGGAGACTAAAAAAAATAGGTACTGCAAATGGCTGGAAATTTTCCAATATTAGTGAGTAACACCAAATCAAAGACCCAGGAATCTCAAAGAACATCCAGCAAAATAAAAAATAAAAACACATAAGGCCCAGTGGTTTACACTTGTAATCCTAGCATTTTGGGAGGCTGAGGTGTGAGAATAGCTTGAGCCCAAGAATTGGAGATTGCAGTGAGCTGTGATCATGCCATCACATGTCAGCCTGGATGAAAGAGTGAGACCCTGTCTCAAACAAACAAACAAAACATCAACCCTGCCACTCCAAACCCATTACCACTAGGTATATTATATTCAAATTGAAAAAAAAAAAAGACATGGCTTGGCACCTGTGGCTCAAGTGGCTAAGGC